TCATTATATTAGTAAAGATGTTCATAAATCTTTAAACAGATGGAAGCAGGGAGAGCTGCAGATTTAAAGGCAAAACAGATTTACTGCGATATGCAACACGCAATAAAATATATCTCCAAGTTCACAAGAAAGTTTACATGAACAAAATATGCTATAATTAAAATGAGGCATAACCATATTTTTCTGGATGGATGGAATTGAAATTGTATATTCTAGGGATGCATGATATATCGATTTTGGCATCAGGATTGGCTGTTATTCGTAATTTTTTTTCATGCATTGAGGTTTTTGGGCCCTATATATGTAACGCACTAAAGAGTCTCTTTAAAGAGATTGTTGTGCGTTCGTAGATAAACCATACGCAGAAATAGTTTAATGTTTATGTTGCTCGCAGGCTTTTTGAAATAAATGTGACGGAATAGACTCTGAGATGTGGAAAAACATGAAAGCAGACAACGATTACCACACCGCCTGACAAATAACTGAGTTTTATGTTGTTGTAACTCGATGCTTGATGCGGTTCACAGAGCTAGGAGAGGAGTACTGCCCTCCGTCTCAGTATCTCCTGCCGGTTCTGGAGAGCGATTGTGGCAAACAGAACTCGGACTGTTTGGATGGACTGGAGGAGGCCTGGCAGGTACGTTTCACAAACACAGCGTGAAGTTTTCACCAACACCGTGGTGCATTTGCTACTAATAAAGATCCCTGTTAAGCTTCTAAACTCAGATGTACTGAAATAAACTGCAGCTCCTCTGTTTCCGGTTCAGCATAAAGCAGAGTTAAGCTCTAGAACAATATTCCAATCTTTGAACATCTGATCAATCATTCATCTGATCAGCTTTCTGATGATACACACTTAAGGAGCCCACATACTTGTGTGGACATATCTGTTTAGAGTCCATGCAGACTCTAGGAGGAGTCCGCCTCAACTTAAGGCCAATTTTTATACAAAGTGTCTCACTAAACTGTATTCGTACTGAAATGTTTGCATCTGATCAGCTGATAACGGGACATTGCTGTAAGCAACCAGCTGCCTCACCGTCAGGTGTGCGGTTGAAGAAGAAACCATGCAAGGCGCCAACCTAGACTTTGTTTCTTTTGTTTTAAAACCCAATAAAGCCTCACTGTTTTTATTGCATTTACTTTGCCTCAGTTGTTATTCACATTTATTTGCTGCTATTTTAAAGAACACCTTAAATACATTAACACACCAAGCCTTAGAACTTGAACATTCCGTAAAGACTCTTAGACCCCCTTTTATCCCATTTTATTGGCCTTTCATTTACCCTGTGCTTATCTTCAGTAGTGTGTAGTATTTACATATTTATTAGGTAAAATAATACCGTAATGGAGATTTTTAACAGATATTTCAATGTTATGTAAATCCCTTTATTGTCCCACAATGGGGAAATTCACTCTCTGTATTTAAGCCATCCCCTTGGGGACCAGTGGGCTGCCATTGTGTGGGGTTAAGGGTCTTACTAATACCCCGTTTACACTACCCTTAAAAAACTGAGCCGAGACCGGTCCGAGCTCAGTAACTGAGATAACTTTTCGTGTGTGAACGGAAACAACCTGAACTGAACCGAGATAGACATAACCGGACCGCGCTAACTGCAGACCAGTTCCCGAGGTGGG